ACTTGGTATCATTCCTACCATGTCTCTTTTGGGGTCAAAAGTGAGTCATAGAGCTATCCCAGGTTCAAGAGTAGGATCATATAAAAAAGGTTTAACTGTTAGGAAGCATTGCTCACTATGAACATCCTAGCTGGAGGCCAGCAATGAACATCAGCTATCACACAACTTATATAGACTTATGTACACAAGAGTTTGAAAATTAAATTCATTGTCAGGTCCCAGTAGCTCATGCCTATAATTCTAGCTACTCAGGAAGCTGACATCTGAAAAGACTGTGGTTCCAGCCAGCCGAGCAAAAAGTCCACAAGATTCCATTTCCAAAATAGCCAGCTGGCTAGAGACATGGCTCAAGTGGTAGAGCAATCAAGCCACCAGCCTAGATTTAGATATAGAGTAGGGCAGAAGGTAAATTTCCTAATCTTAAGGCCTGTACATTCTTAAGACAGAGAGACAGGAAAAACCAAACCAAACCAGGAACACCAATAAATAAGACAATCTGGGACAATCATTATCAAGTAACAAACTGTACACAAAATCTTGCATGCAATTTTATGGACTTCATTAATCTTCTATGGATTCTTCTTTATTTGCTATGTAATCAGCTCTCTCTTTCCCTCTCTCTCTCTCTCTCTCTCTCTCTCTCTCTCTCTGTCTGTCTGTCTGTCTCTCTGTCTGTCTCTCTCTGCCCTTTGTGTCTGTCTCTCTTCCGGTCTCTGTTTTTCCTTGCTGGTACCAGAACTTGAACTCAGGGACTCAGCCTTTTGCACTTGGCTTTCTTGCTTAAGGCTGGCTTTCTACCATTCGAGTTACTTCTCCAGCTTGGAGTTTTGCTGGTTAAATGCAAATGGGGTCTCATGGACTCCATTCTGCCTGAGCTGGCTTGGAACTGTGATCCTCCAGGTCTCGACCTCTTGAATAGCTAAGATTATAGGCATGGACCATCTGCACTACCTCAGCAATTTCTCTTTTAAACTAAAGGATAACTTTTTAAAAATTTTTAAATAAAAATTGTTATTATAAAGGTGATATAGAGGGGTTAGTTATATAAGTTGGGTGATGAGTATATTTCTTTTTGAGCAGTGTCACCCCTTTCCTCCCTCTCTCCCAGTTTTTTTCCCTCCCATTCCCACCCACAAGTTGTATATGTAATTTTCAACATAGTGTCTAGTGTAAAGGATAACATTTAAAAAATGAGTCATGTAGATGTGGATGTTTATTCCCACTGCTTGCTTGCTCTCTCTCTCCTTCCTTCCTTCCCTCCCTCCCTCCTTCCCTTCTTCCTTCCCTTCCTCCTTCCCTCCTTCCTGCTTTCCCTCCCTCCCTCTCTCCCTTCCTTCCTACCTTCCCTTTCCTTTTCTATCTCTCTTTTTCTTTTTGCTGGTACTGGAGTTTCTAACTCAGTGCCTTAAGATTGCTATGAACTACGAATCCAGCTATACCCATTGCTTTTTCACTTATAATGGACACACAGAGATTGGCTGATTTTTACCAGTGAAGAATAATTACATGCTAAGCTGTTGAAATGACTTATTTTTCAATCAATACAAGAACACTGGCTTTTCATGAAATGTCAGAGATAACTGTGGCTGGTGACTAGAAATGTGTACAGTGTAAAGGTTTTCCTTAACCTTCTTTAAAAGAAAATGAAACACCCTCTTCTTTATGGAACTATCTGCTCATCTCTCTCAAAAGAAAAATGAAATGGATCATATAGCCATGGAGTCACATTACAACAGCTCAGCTCGCAGGAGACTCTAAGAACTGAACTGACCCTTTCATCCATATTTTGAAGATGAGAGTGAAGGATGGATAGCATGCCTTGAATTTTTTCCCCTCTGTTTTTGTTTTTATATTCTCACCACAAATTGTACTCTGGTGTTTATTACTGTGGTATCCTGTGGCATTTAAATGTGTACTTTTACCTTTGGCAAGATTTTTAAGTATTATCATTAGCGTAACATAATGTTTGCAAAAATCAAATCTTATTCCATTATGTTTGGTGTTCGTGAAGCAACACAAATAGTTCATCTATTCCTCTATCTATTTATCTATCTATGCCAGTATTAAGACTTCTCAACTCTCCTTTGGCTTTTTCCCCTCAAGTGGCACTGTACCACTTAAACCACAGTTCCACTTGTAGCTTTTTTTGCTGGTTAATTGGAGATTGGAATCCCCAATTAAACTTTTCTGCCTGGTTGCTTCAAATTGTACTCCTCAGATCTCAGTCTCCCGAGTAGCTATTTTAAAGGCATAAGCCACCAGCACCAGCTTTTAAAATTCTTACTGGTAGTAAGCTTCCCCCCCCTTTCAGTTTTGGTATCTGGAATATTATGTTGTAGTGAACGTAATCATAGAGCACACACAGTCTTAATACCATTATTTAGCAGGGGTTGGTAACCTATTACCCCAGGGCTTAAATCTACATTTGTTTCTATAAATTTTCCGTGTAGGACATTGTCTATGGCTGCTTTTATGCTTAATATATTTCCTCTTTAAGAAACAGGTTGTCCATTCCTTATGAAGAGGAAAAATAGTTCTCTCTTTCCTTGACAATCATTGACATAAATTTGTATCTACTATGTCCCACAGATTGCATATTGTCATAGTCAGTTACAGGCATTTGCCACAGGCAGATTGCATGACCAGAGAGCCCATGGTGGAGAAGTGGTAGTAAACAAGAGACACAAAAATTCATGCTTATTTTTCAACTTTAGTTTCAAGGTGTTTAATAATAAAAATGGCAGAAAGCCTCTGAAGTAACCTTTAAGAAGAGTATAGGTTTTTTTTATTAAGATGACTGGCGACTAGATTCTCCTGCTTGGGACATAATAAAAATGAGACAACAGTGGTCATAATTAAGTACAAAATAGCATGTTTTTAGAATTACTCAGATGATCTATGGGAAAACATACCTGAAATTTCGACTGCATTTTACCAAACAAGGCTGTGATCAAGATTGTCTCTCCATAATCCCATTAAGTCATCAGTGAATTGGATTCTTGCTTATGTTTGATGTTCCTTGAATGATGTCTTTTGAGCATCGCTGTGGTGCTCAAGGTGTTCTTAAGGGATGAGGGTGCAAATGCATAAGTTTAATTCAATAGACATTTATTTAGAGCTTTTTGCAGGAAAGCTGGGTTGAGGGAGGAGCCACAAAACTGTGCGTGGAGAGTCTTACTGTCAGAAATTGAGATACTCTCAATGCTTGCTCATCTGGGAATACTATAACTCTTGGAGAAATATTTGGAGGGCTGAAAAATTTCCCATGTCCTTCTGACCTGATTTTCACCAGAACATATCAAATCAGCCGTGCCATTTTTGTATCATGAAACAAAACAAGATCTCAAATACTGGTTTACAAACATGTTTTAAGTGGATTAAGACCCTGCTGGACGCTGGTGGCTCACCTCTGTAATCCTCACTACTCCTGAGGCTGAGATCTGAGGATGGCGGTTTGAAGGCAGTCCAGGCAGGAAAGTCAGTCCAGTCAGTTAGACACTTATCGCTAATGAACTACTCAGATAAAGCGGAAGTGGTGCTGTGGCTCAAGTGGCAGAGCACTAGCCTTGAGCAAAAAGCAGCTCAGGGACAGCACCTAGGGGCTGATTTCAAGTCCGGAAAATGAATGAATGAATGAATAAAGATCCGAAAAAGAGAATGTGTAGTTTCTTACAAAGTTTTAAGCGGAGCATGCAGGCCAAGGGAAGTTGGTGCTTGGCACACACCTAGACCTGAGTTTGATTTGCAACACCTTTGCCCCAAGTCGAAAGTGTCTGTATAAAATTACAACACTGGACAGATGGAAGTCTTAAGAGACTAAGACCTAATTTTAGTCTAAAGTTCTTAAAGTTTGTGCGCAGTAAAGAAGACTATGATCCTGTGTGTTCCCCCCCCCCCCCACACACACTCTGTGCAGTATTGTACACAGCCAGTTTCTTATTGTCCATTTCCCAAATGGCCAGCAGAAAGCATTGCAGGAAGCGTGGTTCAAGTGGTAAAAGGCAGGCCTAGCAAGCACTAGCGTAGTTGGCAGCTAGAGGAATCCTAGTTTCTGGACACAAGAACAGGAAGCCCTTTAGTTATTCCTACAGCCTAACTTCCATAGCGTCTCCTGGAATAACCCGTGTCACCGTCAGCTCATTGCAAGTGTTGGAAAGTTTCTACCACTCATCTTTTTATGGCCGCCTTTAATGGAAGACTGTGGAGGTTCAAACTCTTGAATTTCCACGACACAGAAAAGGGAAGCTGACCTAGGGAAAGATGGAGCAAGTTCCCAGCCACAGCCTGCTCGGAGGAGCGCGGATGGGAAGTTCCCGGGCAGGGTCCGGGGTTGGCGCCGCGGCTCCGCAGACCGGTTCTCGGTAACAGATCGTTCTGCACTTGCCACGAGCACCGGCCTGCTCCCGGCACCAACCCCATCTCGCCAAACCCGCCGAGCCAAGGGACAACTGAACACCGAGTGCACGGTCTCCAGGCCAGCTGGGAAGCATGACTGGGTCTGGCTTTAATCACCCTTCCTCCCGCCCCGGTGGCCGGCGCCCCATGGGGGTCGATCCGACTCGCGGAGGCCCGAAGCCCGGCGCGCTTCCTCTCCCCCCCTCGACGAGGGTCAGGGGCTCCACCTGCGCTCCCAGACGCGCGATCCCGCGGCGGGCGGGGGCGCGCACGGCGGGAGCGCGGGAGCGGCGCGCACGTGCCGCCGGGAAGGGGCTGCCCGGGCCGCGCCAAGATGGCGGCGGCCGCGGCGGCCGCGGCGACGGTTGGCGGCGGCCGGTGAGGCGGGCGGGGCCGGCGGCGCGGAGGCGGGGTCCCGGGCGAGCCGCCCTGGGAGGCGGGGGCCGTTTCCATAGCGGCGGCAGGAGGTGTCGCGCCGGGGAACTTCCTGGTTCCCGGGCTCGGCTTCGCCGGGATCCTCTCTGGAAGGGAAACAATGGGGCGGAGGGCACTGCGGTAGCCGCCGCCGCCGCCGCGCCGCGCCGCCGGACCTGCTCGGCCGCTCCGCCCGGCACGGCCCGCGCCGCCCGCCCCGCAGCCTCCGCCGGCGGGACCGTCCTGAGGTAGGGCCCTTTCCCCCGGGGGGGGGGGGAGCCGCGGGGGACGGCGGGCGCCTGGGGCTAGGATGGCCCCCGGGGAGCCGGACGCCGCCATTCCCGGACGTGGTGGGGGGTGGGGGGGGGCTGCGGCAGCTCCGGCTCAGCCGGGGGGTCCCGGGGCCGGGCGCGTGCGCGGGGCGCCCCCCGGGGGGGGAGGTCCGCGGGTGATTGGCAGGTCGGCGGGGGGCGCGGAGCTGGGCGGGGCCCGGCGCGGCCCGGCGCCCGCGGGGAGGCGGGAAGTTTCGGTCCCCCCCTCCGGGTGACCGCGGGGCCGGGTGAGTTTCTAGGGCGCCCGGGGTGGGCCCGGCTGGGCCGAACGTGCTTCCTCTGAGACGGTCGCCGGGATGTCGGGCGGAGCTCGGTGTGCCCGGGGGACGGGCGGGCGGGCGAGGGCTCGGGAGGGCCGGGGAGTCGGGACGCCGGTGCGAAGTTTGCAGAGTAGTTGGCAGCTCGCGCGGAGGCGCGGCGCGGCGCGCGTGAGAACGCCGGCTCGCAGGTGTTTGCGGGCCCGCCAACCCGAGCACCGGGGCCCCGGGCCCCTTCTCTCCGTTCAGCCCACCGATGAACTTGTGTTTTTGCTTTAAAGAAAGAACACTTGGATGTGCTGTACGCGTCCCCTCGGGCCTGGAAAGCCGCGGTTGAGTCGGGGCGAGACTGTGACTTTAATGGGGGGGGGGGGGGAGAGCGGATAACACTGTTCTCAGCGTCCTGCTTGTGCGATTCGATCCTTTATCAGTCCTTTCATAAAAGATAATTAAAGCTCTGGGATAGTTGATTGAGATCATCCTGGCCACCTCTCCCCTACATTTAACGAGAGAAGTTCTCCGTCCGGCGGAAGACCTTTAACTTTCTTGACATCCTTCTAGTAAGCTTTCATAAGTTCACAGCGAGCGAACAGTAGTTTTCTCACAGTAAACGGACCAATTTTTTTTTCTCGTTTACCATTCTTTTATAATAAAACGTGTAAACATGGTGTGATTCATTGCTCAAAAGGGATGTGAATCCTGTGTGTTGCGTTCCACATAGTCAACTAAACTGGAAGTCAGAGTACTCAAGTGACAGATAATTGCTAACGAAGGTAAAACTAGCTTTCAAAGGAAAAGCACAGTCCCAATGACAAGTACTGGTATGGTGAACTGACAGAAATGCCTTGGCTGGTTATGTCTTGAAAGAATTAACGAGGTGTCCTATAGAGGCATTCAGAAAAGCATCCTTTGCCAAACTAGAAGTTTTGTCCCGAGAACTTTAGTGTTGATATTCACTGCTCTTTGTCTAAACTGTGAGACTCTCCTTGGTACTTGCTTCTGGTACAGATATTTCATTACAGCATTTTGTCCTGGGGGATAATAGCTCCTAGTGAGACAAATGTCTTGGTTAAACCAGCCAGTTAAGTATAAGTGTCATGTTTGGCTCCCTGATGTATAAATTGATCATCTTCAACCATTATTGGGAACCAAGATAGCTATCAGCTACAGAGGTTTCAGACTGGGTCTCCAAAGTTAGTCTTTGCCACTGTATCAAATTTCTGTTCCGTTTTGTAGCCAGTAGAAATGGGTGAAACCGAGGCCAGTAAGTTTAAGTTAGTAGCAAATTGAGAACAATTGCTTTGGTTAAAAGCTGAGGAAGTGCTTGCTTGGGTAACACATAGACTAAAATTGGAAGGATGCAGAGAAGATTAGCATGACTTCTGGGCAACATGACCCATGACCTGCAGACTCATGAAGTGTTTTACATTCTTCCATATTTTTAAACGCTTTCCCTAAAAACGAAATAAAGCTCAGTCATGTTAAGGCAGTGGTGAAGCTTTCTCTTTTTATTTCTAGTCCAGTTCAGACTACTAAGTATCAGAAAGTTACAGTTTGTTCCCTTCAGTGTGTGGTTTGAAAATCATATTACTTTCTTAGATTTCATTTAATGGTAAAGAGTCACAGTTTCCCTCTTACAAAAATGTCAAAGTTTTACATGGACATTAATACAAAAACAATAATGTCAAGGAAAACAGGCTTCTAGCACGCCTCCATATAGTAGGATTGGAGAGTATGGAATTGGACTCATGGACAGTGAGTGGCCCTGTCATTTCTAGGCTGCATCACCTCATGCAAATTACTTTTTTGAGCATGGTAACTCTACACTTCCTTCCTTCTTTTTTTTTTTTTTGTAAAGTCGGAGAGACTTACTTCTGGAGTGCTTCTGTGTAGCCCAGGAATTTGTGGCAGGTACCTTGTTTTCAAGAAGTGGACTAGTCCTTTGAAGTACAGTACACAGATCTCTAAAACCTAGGTTTTGGATGAGTCAGTAGTTTTCTTAAAGTAATTTGTGAGACGTGAAGGATGGGAGAAGATAGGTGAAAAGAGGAGTTAGGGGAGGGTTTGAAAACTTGGAGGGTAGGAAAAGAATATATACATAGCCCTGAACTGGGGAGCTTACTGTGGAGGGTAAATAAAAATGTTTGTGTATTAAATACCTCTCTACGTCCTATGTAAGCAATCACTTTATTTTAAGAGACGGCTCCTTCCTTGGCACTGTTCTCTAATTATCTGAATGAACTGACTCAATTTTCTTTCATAGTCATATAGAAAGGACTCAGTTGATTTGACCCTAACTGCACTAGGCCTGGAAATGACACTCTGTGCACTTTGCTGCTGACTTTTACAAGCCTTGCTTTAACTTTTAGTTTCTGTAGCTATAAAGCTAGGATCACATGTTAATAAAATATTCAATTTATTTACAGGGATTATGATAGCAGAATAGTATTTTGATTTCATCTTTTTGAGTAGCTTAGACTGTCTTATTTATTTATTTATTTATTCATTTTTTTTGTTGGTTGTGGGGCCTGAACTCTGGACCTGGACACTGTTCCTCAGCTCTTCAGCTCATGGTGAGCCACTCTGCCACTTGAGCCACAGAGCCACTTCCAGCTTTTTCTGCTTATGTGGTGCTGAAGTATTGAACCCAGGGCCTCATGCACTCTACCACTGAGCCACCTTCCCAGCCCTAGACTGGGAAGTGCCGACTCTTCACAAAATTATAGGAGCCATCTATACTAAAAAAAAAAAAAAAAAAAAATAGTATTTAAGTAGCCTCATTTGCTTATAGAAAGATCAGGACTCTCTGGAGTTTTATGTCTTGTGAAGTTGGCTCTGCAGAGATTAGTTATCTTGTGATAGAGGTTCATATCATACCTGTGTCTTGCTGACAGTGTTATGAGTAGAATATCATTATACTTTTATCCTGGAATTTTTCTGACATTGGATCAGAAAGTGAATTAAAATTACCATGAAAGAATCTCATTTTAAAGTTTCTTAATGTATTAATATTGCAATTAATCATGTTAAATAGATCAATGATGGCAAATTAATATTTTATTATAGAATTAATGCAATATTTATAAGTGAGTTGGCTATCTGGGCTCTTAGTTTTTGTTTCATTTTATTTGGGTTTTGGATATTTCAATGTTAGCGTTTCTAGTAAGAAAAGGCAAAATAGATATTTGTAATGAGTCATACAAAAATGGAATCGATGTTGAGGCTAAGATTTATAAGCACTAGTTATGTGTAGGGGAGCTAGAATTGACATGCAACTGATAAAAATGCTTTAAAATTAATTTTTGAAATTACTTGTCTCACCTGTTTTATGTTTATCTCCCCACACCAGGTTAAACTTGCCCTGGGTAATGGGGGCTCATGCGGGCAATCCTAGCAGCTCAGGAGACTGCGACCTGATGATCTCAGTTTGAAACCAGTCTACGCAGGAAATGTCCATGAGACTCCTATTTCCAGTTAACACTTAAAAAGCCAGAAGTGGAGTTGTGACTCAAGTGGTAGATTGCTGGACTTGAGCAAAAAAGACTTAAGGACAGCACCAAGGCACTGAGTTCAAGCCCCAGGACTGGCATAAAAATAACCTGTACCATTTCCTTCATCCCCACCCCCCTGTTTTCTTACTGTTACCTTTGTGTTTATTTAAAAAATGGAATATACTTATCAACATATAATATTGAGAATTTTGTCCTATTCCTAGTCAGTGAAAAGCCTTTATAAACGTTTAGTTCTGTATTCAATAGACAGTGTGGAAAATGAGCTATGTAATTTGTCAGCAGGTACAAGAGGGGCAAACTGGGAAAGCAAAGGAAGGGGTGACATTGTCCTAAAAGAATTGTACTCTTTACCAAACTTATGAAATGACAGCCTCTCTGTACAATACCTTAATAATAACAATAAAATATATTTAAAAATTTAGCTCAGGACTGGGATGTAGTGGTAAAGCACTTGCCTAGCAAGCACAAGGCTATGGGTTTGATCCTCAGCACTGAAAAAGGAAAGACAAGATTTAGTTCAGTAGCTTCCCTCCCTCCCTTCCTCACTCCCTTCATCTCTTCATGATTGTTAAGTTTTAAAATGCATATGTATATTTAAAAATCCCACAAGCCTATGTCTACTGTTATTCCGTTAAACAGTGCATTTTCCCCCCCTCATTCCCTCTTGCGTTATTGAGCTTCCATCTTGGATAATTTTACTTACACCTGATGAGAACCTTTCAGTATTTTCTTTTGAGTGGATCTGATATGTTCTAACTTTTTAGTCTGAGAGTGTCTTTATTTCATCTATGTTCATATATATGTATATACGTATGAAGATATGTATATTCACTATATAATATGTGATAGATACAGTATATAATACTTTAGTATTTTTTTGCTTCAGAAGTCAGCTTTAGTTTCTTGCTGGTTTTGTTTGTAGTTTGTCTCATTTTCCAGCTTCTTTTAATATTTTCCTTTTGTGTTAGAAATTTTAGATTTCCCCTCTTCTCCCCCCCCCCCCCCCCCCTTTCCCCTTCTGTCTTTCCCCCTCTTAGTCTTTCTGGAGATTCAATTATAAAATATTAGATCATTTTACTGTATTCTCTGTGTATTTTGTGTCTTATTTTTTCATGTTTAGCTTCTTTGTTTTGTTCTGGATGTTTTCTTCTGGCCTATCTTATAGTGTAGTAAGTTAGTGTTCACTAGTATCTATTTGTAAATGTATTCCCTGGAATTAACATTTGTGATTTTTATTTCTCGTTCTTTTTCAGATAATGCTACTTGTAGTTTCTATTTTCCTATCAAAAATTTCAAATTTTGTACCTGTTCTATTGGAAGGAATAAGCATGGTAACTCTACCCTGAACTGCTGTAGGTTTTGCCCTTCCCCCTTTATTTCTCCTTTTGTGCTTTTAAGTGTGTGTTGGCCATTGTGTTTCTAGAAGAGGTTATGTATAGATTGAAGGAAAGATTTTTCCTTTGCTTTTGCAAGGCACTTGGGATCACTTTTATCCAAACTGAGATTTTTTTTTTCTCGGTCTATTCAAGAGCTGGTTTAGTTTACTTCCAAATTCTTTCTTTTGGGATTCACTTTTTTAAGGGAGAAGGGAGGCGAGCAGAAAGGTTAGGCAAAAGAATGTGAGCCAGACAGAAGCTTCATTGCCTTTATCGCTTAGCCTTGAGATTATGTGGTACAGCTTCCACTGCTTATTATTTTTTTCAGGGAGTTGCATGCCTACCCGTTCAAGTGAGAAGAAAAGGACTTGATTTCTTGAAGGGGAATCACAAGATTCTGGAAGAGCGTGTTGGACCATTATTGGAAAATGCAGTCTGCTCATAGAGATAGCCTAGCACTAGACTATGTCACTATTTATGCTCTCTACTTTTAATAGACATGCTTGTATGTATATTTTCTTGGTTATATGGACTCTTTCCTTTTGGACATATTTTTAAGAATGAAATTGTTGCGTAATGTATAACAAATGTAGTAGTTACTTAGCAAACCTTTTCTCAAAGTATTGGTACCAGTTTATATCCCTAGTATCTTTAATATCTCAAAACTCTATGTAGTGTTCTCTCTCTCTCCCTCCCTCCCTCAACTCTGGGCCTGGGCACTGTCCCTCAGCTCTACCATTTGAGCCATAGCACCACTTCCGGCTTTTTCTACTTATGTGGTGCTGAAGAATCGAACCCAGGGCCTCATGCATGCTACCACTGAGCCACCTTCCCAGCCCCATCTCTCTCTCTCTCTCTCTCTCTTTTTTTTTGCAAGGGAGAGGAAGGGGGCTAGCTCTGTCTTTAAGCAGGAGGGGATGGTCTAAAATACTTGGTTTATCTTTCTTAAGAGTGCAGGTGCTTCATCTTTGTCTTTTATGTAACTTTCCTGTATTTGTGCTTTACTTTCCCAACTGGATGCTAGTTATTGGAAAGTAGAGATTACATAAAAGAATTTGTGAAGTAGCAGGCTCAGTATTAAAACAGAATTTAAAAATGTGTATTCAAATGGTGCTAAGATTATATACATTAGTTGCTGAAGAGAAACTTTTGAAATTAAAAAAAAATTGCTTGTTGGAGAGATACTGAGCCTATCCTTTATCAATTTGTATCACATTTTGTTTACCATTTATATTGTCAGTTTTCATTCTAAGCTCTTTGATCAGCTTTGTTTAGGAAGTATTTTTCTTTAAATATTTTCTTTAAGGATAATAATTTGACATAATCTAGTACAGTGAATAAAAGGATCTTATAAATTATCTTTCAAATGAGCCAGAAGTGTTTTATTAGTAATACATTCGACAGCTTTACAGAGTATTTAACTAAATCATTATTCATGCATAATCCCATGAAAATCCTGAGTAGTAGGCTGGCTGGAAAGTTTAACCTTGACTTTACAAATAAAGAAACTGAGGCTCAGAGAAGCAAAGTGATTTGAT